ATGTTATATAGAAAAAGATCAAATATGATAAAATGTCAATTGCTCAATCTGGGCTTTTCTTTATTCTGTTCTTTTAGCTTTTGTCTTAAGTTTTTTTCTTTTAAAGCTAGGGGCAAAGTCACCATTAGCTGAAGGGTAGATGATGTCATCAAGCTTTTAGGAAATGTCTACTACATGAAGGGCTCTGGGGTAGTCAAAGAATAAAATATGGTTTCTGCTCATAAAGTGCTCATGGTAGAGTATAAAGCTTGCCTCATATAATAATTTGGTCTGCACTGGAGGAATGAAAAAAAAATTTTTAATGTAACAGGCATTTTAAAACAGAAACATCTATTTTTCTTACTGAAATAATTGTTTAGACTTATAAATGGCTGGTTTCATTTCTGACATAATTCTGAAATGCTTTTATGAGTTCTAACATTTCATGAGTTCCATGAAACAATTTCATGGAAATAGAGGCTTTACCTCCGTATAACTGCCTCATCAAAACCGAGTTACCCAACAGCTGTGTCTCTCTCTAAAGTGCATGTCAACTAGTGTATTAAACCTAGGAACACATGAGCACTCCTGGTCTAAAATCACAAATTCAGTGTCCCTGTGCCCAGCTTTGTCAGAGAATCCCCAAAGACACAGAAAGAGAGAAAAAGGGTTAGAAAACACTTACTAGATGGGAAATGGTAAATAGTCCTGTCCTAGGGATGAAGACAAAGTGTATATAATGAAATATCCAACTTACAGATTCTTTGAGAAGGCAGAGAAGCAGCAAGCTCAATGCCTATCATTGATGGAAATCATGGCCAACAAGGATAAGGTCTACAAGTCACGAGAAATTCTGCTCCAAGACTCTCCTCCCTCCCCTTAAAAGCCTGAATGAAGTACTCTGTAGCTCTCACATGGTATGCAGCTGCTCTGGGCAGGATTCGAAACACTGGTGTTCGTCCCCACCTGAAGGCACTTCTGTATATGTGTTCCCCCCAGAGGCCTGCACATTTAAGTTTCTGTGGTGTCTGTGCTTGGAGGAATGCGGTTTTAGACAAGTAATCAAAGCAAAAAGAGTCAAGAGTATGTGCTTTCATTTTATCCTCTTCGTGTCCTTGTACAAAATTTGAACCTTGTGTGCAATCTGATCACTGCATATTAAGAATGGACTAGATTCTCTCTCCCTTTTCCTCTGACCCCCCCAACTCTCTAATAAATCTTAAAAAAAAAAAAAGAATGGATTACATAAAGCTCCACTCAGAGCAAATGAAATATGGGGACAAACTTGTGAAATTAGACTAAGACGAGATCATCGGCTTGAAAAGATGAAGGTTTAAAATATTTCTAGGGGCGTCTGGGTGGCTCAGTGGGTTAAGGCCTCTGCCTTCGGCTCGGGTCGTGATCCCGAGATCCTGGGATCGAGTCCCACATCGGGCTCTCTGCTCGACAGGGAGCCTGCTTTCCCCTCTCTCTCTGCCTACCTCTCTGCATACTTGTGATCTCTGTCAAATAAATAAAAAAAAATCTTAAAAAAAAATATTTCTAGAGTCTACTAAACTATAAAGACGAGTTTACCATAAATATATTGTCAAGTAACAACATCCGATCAAATTTCAGATACCATGTCTTCCTAAAAGACAAAGTTACCTAGAAGAGTGTTTGAAACACAACATTCAGTAAATATCTCCTGAATTAAACTAAAAGTGTAATAAGCCTCACTTTGGGACGGCTGGTTTAGTATAAATGAAAATCTGTTATAGAGGATTTAAAGAAAACTTATTTTATCTACTAACTTTGTCACATACTTATTTACAACAGCAAAATCCCAGCTGAAAAGTGGTTAAGTTTCCACCCATGTGTTATAGCTTAAGATTTATTAAACAAGTATCTAATTGCAGCAAATACTCACACGAACCAAGAAAAAAAAAAAGATTTCCAGATTTTTATTTCTGGAACTGTACACCAGGTATTAAAGTACAACAAATACAAAATAATGCTCAAAAAAATCAGTGTTTATGTACAAATATTAAAATCAATGCAACAATAGCAACTTCCTCTTGAACATCTGTTACTAAAACTTGTTGTGATTGTCACTAATTAATCTCATACTCACAGGGTACTTATTTCAAACTGGGACAATTGGAATCACTGGTCATCTAAGAGGAATTTTAATATCTACCTAACAATAAAACTAATAGTTTCCTCCTTTTAGTGAAAAAATTAAGAACTTTTTAAAAAACATAGTAATGTCAATATTTTTATAAATTATTTCAATTTCCATTTGTAGACAATGTGCTTTGAAACTCTGGGCAAACAATCTCCTTGGTGGTCAGGTTTATTCATTAGTTTACATTCAAAGTTGAAATACTCACTAGAGACTTTGGTTAAATTAAATAGTATCACTATGCTCTATTAGATCTGAAGTTCTCAAATATTTATGACCCTCAATTTTAAAAATTAAAAAGGAAACAATTGCACAATTCTTTGACCTAATTGTACACACTTTAGTATTGTTTAAACAGTATTCTACATCCTTCAAGTAAATTCAGCAGTTGACCATGACAAGAGGAAAACTAAACACTTAAAAAGCTAGCATGGAAAAGATGAAGTACGACTAACAAAATTAAAGTATTGCTATAATCACAGCACCAGTTACACTTCTAAATGAATCCAGGTCCTCTTCAAATTCCCTGTACATAAAAGATACATCAGCCAACAATGCAACAGCTCACCATGGATTTTTGGTTTGTTCATAAGAAAATAATGTGGCAAAAGGAAAAAAAGAATTTATCACAGTTTGTTATAAGAATTGTGCTTAACACTTGATAATAAAGGCATTATTGTTTCTTCATAAAATCGCAAATCAGTAATTTTCATGCTCTCAAATGCAATTCTTCTAATAAACGGTAACAAATTCTCTGTTAAAATGCTTAACTGGAGGGGGAGAAAAAACAGTAAACCCAGCGTTCAAAAGAAAATTCAATAAATAGCTATTTTACATGGATAAAGTCATAGTGGTACAATTTATGAATGTCACATCAAGCATGCACAAAAATGGTATTATACATGGCGGAAGCAGTCAGAAAATATTGAATTAGATCTAAAAAGATATGAAGAATTTACATATATATATACAAAAATCTTGCAAATTATTGCCTCATTTTAACAAGGAATTAAAAGTAAACGTTACCAGCTAGTTAGCGCTCTCTAAGAGGCTAAAATCAGGTTGACATTTAAAAATCTATTAAACTAGCTGGAATTTATTTTTCTCTCATATCATTTACTGGATTTTGGTCAAAAATCTTTATTTAAATAACTAAAGTGTCCATTCAACTTGCTGATAATCAAAACTTTAGATAAGAAACACTGTTTCCATCTTATATCAAGATCCCAGCAATGCATAGATAAACTGAATATGTTACTGCATCAGCTACTGAGAATGGGCATGTTCATTTAAGTGCAACTGGTATTAGCATTCAGTCATCTTTGTGTAAATTACTTTATACAAACCAGCCACTGTAAACCCAGAGTAAAAATCAAAGTTAAAACAATGGAAGATTATGGCCAGTATCTTATTAAATTATAAAAGGTATACTGATTTTCAACAGAAGAAATAAGGTTCAAAGTTTAGCACAACACCACAGCAATAAGAAGCTGATAACTTGGATAAAAATATCTGAAAGCAACACAGAGCCCAGGCTACCCATTATTTACTGTGTGCATACAGGAATGCTAGACTTTAGATGTATAAATTAGAGACTGATTTTAAGTTATTAATTTAACTACTTTTGTCCACTGTGCTAAACTAAATTTTATAGTAAATATGCTACTGCGTAAACACTTCAAAGCAATCTTCATTAAAATGCTGCAAAGAAATATAAGAATACACATCATCCAAAACTAAGGATGTCATTGCAGTTCACAGTTTGTATAATAAATACCCTCCCTTTCCATCACTACTAAGGTCACTACAACCTATCTACTCCTCAGCACAACCTTGAAGCGACTTACTCTTACAAATAATGAGTAATGCAGCCAAACATTTCAGGTTTTTGCAAAGCAAGACAACTAGTAGAATTTGGAAATTAAGACGGTGCGCAAAAAAAAAAAAAAAAAAAAAGGCGCAAAATTGTCTTAACTGAACTATAAAAGCAAAGCTTATTACACCCTAATACTGTATAACATACACATTGTTTGAATTCACCTTTTAACTTAGAGATGCATATCTATAGAGCAAAAATGGCCAAAGTTTAGGACAATGGCTTCTCATTCACAATGTCTGCAATAAAAATAAAACAGTCTGAGATGCATCTGAACGTCTATCACTTTTGAAACTTAAAGTGGTAAAGTACCATGCTATTGCAGATAGAAACTCACATTTTTCTCACCAACTGTTCAAGCTAAACAAAAAAGTTTAAATATACTTCAAGGTTATACTGCATTAAGTGTAAAATCTAGAAGTCCCTCCTAAATATTAACACTTTGAACTGCAGTGCTACAAACAAGTGTCCCAAAACGTAAACCATTGAGTGGCAACATCCTAGACTTTGTAGACTGTGTCCTGCAATTCAGTTGCCTCAGGATAAACTAATTATCAATGACCAGTAAGATTTTTACAATTATAATCTTGACAATGGTGGACAAAACCCCATCTGAATACCACATCTTTAAATGCCAAATTTTTAGCCAATAAATGGAGGTACACAGAACTCTTCCCACAGTAAAATGACTGATTCTGTGTAAGGTAGCCCTGGTCTAGAATTTTGAAACAGGATCCAAGCAAGCGTCTTCATAATTTGCACGCAGTTCCTCGTGCTGGCTTCCATAAAGATGGACTTGCTGTTTTGTAAACTGAAGTGCTCTAGTTGAAAAACATGAGAGAAGTTTCCATTTTAAAAAAATCCTTGCATGTTTGTGCAGTTTAAAGAAACCTACCCCTGCTTTTATTTAATTAAGAAAATAAAACCAAAAAATGCTACATTGAGCAGGGATTGGGATCGGTACCTGTAAACATTGTTATTCCACTGCATCCATTATGGCAAAAGGAATTTACATGAAAAGAAGCCACTCCATTCAGTTCAGAACATCTGTGCTGGTTTTGAGCTGGTGGCCTCTGTCTACAGGTTTTAAAACTGGGAGTGAGGGCAGTGGGGAACTGAAAAGAATAGAAAAAGAAGGGAGTGGAGAAGAGGTACTGGGGGATGAGGAAGAGATAAGCAGAGCTTAAAGCTGCACCACAGAGTTCAATCTTAGTTCCCAACTCTGCTGATCATAGTTTATTTCCACATTTATGGATTGAAAAATGAAAATACTCTTGATAAATCAAGATATAGTTCTATACATACTGACATCACTGATGTCATACTGAAAAAGGTTCAAACTTCCAGTGAAAGACTAAGCAAACCTGATCCTTTCCTCAAGTTTACTGGTACTGCACACCCACTGTTTCTGGGCCCCTCACTCCTGTCACTCAGAGTGAAGGGCGGCATGCTGATGCAGAGCATGGGCACTGATGAAACCATTGGTCTCACTGGCAGACAGACTGCCAAAGTCAGCCACGGAGACGGCCATTTTGGCACTGGTGATGTGATGTGTGTGATTTTCAAAGTCCACACCCAAATTATTTACAGAAACCTCATTCATAAAGGATTCAGGAACAGCAATGCCCATTTTCAATCTCTTTGCTGGTCTTTCTGACTCTTCACTGCACATGTTCATGGGGTTTAGCTCCGAGTGATAAAATCCAGTCTCAAATAAATTAAAACAATCACTTTCCCCATTGCTTGGCAGGGTGAGTAACTCCTCCGTTACGACAGGCACATGATTGACTTGTCCACGGGGTGTGTTGCCCAGTGGAGGAAAGCTATCATCCAAACAATTCACATCCGTAGGGTTGCAGACCGTTGCCACACTGTTGGTCAGGGCTAAAAAAAAAAAATGGAAAATGGTTTAAGTAAGTGGTCCCATGTCCTGAAACAAGGATGACCCAATTTTGCGCTAAGCTAACGAACACAAAAAGATGCCATTTTACCTGTCAAGTCACTGGCAGTGAAAGAGTTGAGAATGTTCAGTTGTTGATCAGGAGGAGGCTCAGGTCGATTAGAAGTTAAGGCTGAAGAATTTACTGTCGAACCCAGAGCTTCTGTTTCATCTACCAAACGATCCATATAGTCCCTGAAAAACATAACCCAGTAACTTCAAGACTGCCTATCACAGTTAAAAACAGAAGTCTCTAAAACCAACCGCATAGTACTTACGTAACTCCAGGGTGATGGTTATATCGCTTCTTTCCAAATCTTGTCTGTTGAGCGAAGTAATCATAACGTTCAGATTTCTTCCACATATAGTAGAATGCTACACATTCAGCAACTGTTCTAGTTCTCACCTAACAAAAAAAAGTTAAAATTTTTAAATAGAAACCAATAGACCCAACCCATTTTTCAGTAACATCTTTTTTTAAAGAGTTTATTTATTTATTTGACAGACAAAGAGAGCACTGCTGCAGCTGCACAAGCAGGGGGAGAACAGAGGTAGCCGGAGAAGAAGAGAGCAGAGAGCCATTGAGCAGAGAGCCCAACCTGGGCTTGATTCCAGGACCCTTGGATCATGACCCGATTCACCCAGATGCCCCACCATGCTGTGGTTTTGTGTGTGTGTGGTTTTTTTTTTTTTTTTACAACACTGTAACTTCAATCTATGGGTCTTATTTTCTATCCTCCCTATTATAAATTCTGAACATTTTACTAGTAAAATGTTGTTACATTTAAACTATTTAATAATAAGGATACCTTCAAAAGCTCAAAGTTTGTTATTTAAATCAGAATGTTTTCATTTATAAAATAAATGTGTATCCAGGAATGATCTTACACGTTTCCTTAAAATCTTAAAACAATGGCAACCTTGAAGCCAACAGTCCTTCCTAACCCTAAGGAGCCATGAATGATATTCACTGGCATCCATTAAATTCCAAAATAATATGCAGCTGTACTTTTCTAGGGAGAAGAGCTGTAGCATCATCAGATTATCAAAGGGTTCCATAATGCAAAAGAGACACAGAACCCTTAGGAAAGGGAGTAGCACTCAACTGCATCTGCGATTTAAGATGATCTGCTAGCTAACGGCAGGGTGTTTTCCTTCAACATGGGTTTAGTTCATAGCTCCAACAGAGTTTGGTAAAAACAACAACAACAACAATAAAAAAAAAATGAGCCTTGCCAACTTGGCCCCACATCCAGACTGGGGCTGGTCAAACTATATACAGCTACAGGTATGAGTTCAGGCATACAGACAAAATTCTGTATCCTTATCTAATAAGCACTTTCTCTATTACCTAACCAGCATCAAATGAAGAAGTTTCAGAGTCTCTATCCTGATTAGTGAGCATGATATAATAAGTTCATAACATAAGGAACAAGCTTTTTAAGCGAAGAAATAAAGTACATATTTCAATAAACATCATTCACTTTAAGTTTCTGTGGTGAACATAGGCTTTCTGGGGACAGAGACCTTTCCTGTCTTACTCACTGATGTATCTCTAGCAATTAAAATGCCTGGTAAATGACAGAACTTAATTATTTATGGAATGAATGGACAGATTTCACTAGTCATTGAAAAACTTGTGTTTTATTTTGACTTAAACAACCAAGACTTCTTGAAAAAAAAATTTAAGATTTTATTTATTTATTTGACAGAGATCACAAGTAGGCAGAGAGGCAGGCAGAGAGCGAGGAGGAAGCAGGCTCTCTGCTGAGCAGAGAGGCCAATGCAGGGCTCAATTCCAGGACCCTGGGATCATGACCTGAGCCGAAGGCAGCGGCTTAACCCACTGAGCCACCTAGGCGCCCCCTTGAAAAACGTTTTATCTACTCAGTAAATTAAGTACTTCATCTCATCTTAAAGAAAACATTAGGTTTTCATACATACAAAAAGGCTCTCAACTATTCAACATCGTACTAGAAGGTCTAGCAAATGCAGTAAGACAAGAAAAGAATAAAAGGTATATGAGCTGAGAAGGAAGAAATAAAACTGTCTCTGTTCACAGATGACATAACTGTTCACATAGAAAATTCCAAAGAATCAGCAAAACACTCATGGAACTAATAAATGATTGTAGCTAGGATGCAGAATATAAGGTTAATATCCAAAAATCAACTGCTTGCCGATATACCAACAATAAACAACCAATATGTGAAATTTAAAAATACAATAGCATTTACATTAGCACCCCAAAAATGAAATAGTTTAGGTATACATCTAACAAACTGCATGCAAGATATGTGAGGAAAACTATAAAACCATGATTAAAGAAATCAGAGATCTAATTAAATGGAAAGATATTCCACATCCATGGGTAGGAAGACTCATGATTGTTAAGATGTCAGTTCTTCCCAACTTGACCTATAGATTCTGGACAATCCCAACCAAACCCCAGCAAGTAACTGAGTAAATACTGACAAACTAACTCTAAAGTTTATGTGGAAAGGCAAAACAACAACAACAACAACAACAACAACAACAAACAAACAACAAACCAGAGTGGCCAACACAATATTGAAAGGGAAAAACAAAGTTGGGGAATGACACTACCCAACTTCAAGACTTACTACTATAAAGTTACAGTAATCAAGACAGTGTGCTACTGGGGGTTGGGGGGGGATACAAATTAACACAAGAGAATGGAGAGCCCAGAAATAGACCCAAAGAAATACAGTCAACTAACTTTAACAAAGAGTAAAGGTGATGCAATGAAGGATAGTCTTCTAAGCAAATGGTGTTAGAACAACTGGACATCCACATGTAAAAACAAAACAAAACAACATGAAAGAAAGAAAGAAAGAAAGAAAGAAAGAAAGAAAGAAAGAGAGGGAAAGAAAGAAAAGATAAGAAAGAAACTAGACACAGATCTTAACAATTTTCACAAAAATAAACTAAAAATGGAATACAGACATAAATGTGAAACACTAAACTATAAAGCTCCTAGAAGATAACATAAAAGCTAGATGACCTTCAGGATAACAATGAGTTTTTAGATGTAATACTAAAAGCATGATCTGTAAAAGAGAATCTGATTAGTTGAAATTCACTAAAATTAAAACCTTCTATTTGCAAAAGACACTGTTAGGAGAATGAAAAAGACAGCCATATACAGGGAAAAAATAATTGCAAAATACATATATGATAAAGGACTATTATCCAGGGGCACCTGGGTGGCTCAGTGGGTTAAAGCCTCTGCCGTCGGCTCAGGTCATGATCTCAGGGTCCTGGGATCGAGCCCCACATCGGGCTCTCTGCTTGGCAGAAGCCTGCTTCCCCCTCTCTCTGCCTGCCTCTCTGCCTACTTGTGATCCTCTCTCTGTGTGTCAAATAAATAAATAAAATCTTTAAAAAAAAAAAAAGGACTATTATCCAAAATATCTAAAAGAAGCACTTAAAACTTTACAATAAAGCAACAAACCACTCAATTAAAAAATGGGCTAAAGGCCTTAATAGACACCTCACAAAGAAGAGACACAGATGGCAAATAAGCAAATGAGAAGATACTCCACATCTTATGTCATCAGAGAAATGCAAATGAAAACAAGACACATTACACACCTATTATAATGGCCAATATCTAAAACCCTGACAACATCAAATGCTGGAAGGATGTGGAGCAAGAGGAACTCTCAGTGCTGGTGGGAATACAAAATGGTAAAGCCACTTTAGCAGACATTTTAAAGATTTTCTGTTTCTAACCAAACATAATCTTACCATGGAATCCAGCAATCCCACTCACTAGCATTTAGCTAAAGCAGTTGAAAACTTAAGTAACATGCAAAAACCTTCACACCAGATGTTTATAGCAGCATATAACTATCAAAACTTGAATGGGACCATGATGCGCTTCAAGGTGAATGGATAAACTGGTATATCCATACAATGGAATAAAAAGAAATGTGATAAAAAGAAATGCACTATCAAGTCATGACAAGACATGAAGAAACCCTTAAATGCATATTACTAAGTCAAAGAAGCCAATCTGAAAAGGCTACATACTATATGATTCCAACCATATGACACTCTGAAATGGTATAGTATAGAGAGAGTAAAAAGCCAGATGCTGGGGTAGGAGTGGAGGAAGGAAGAGAGGAATAGATTGGAATTGGTTGTAGTACAAGGGATTTTAGGACAGTGAAACCATTCTGTATGATACATAATGGTGGATATCAATATATATGTAATGGCACAAGTCATTACATACCTATCAGAACCACATAACACAAAAAGTGAACCAGTATGTAAACCATGGACTTCAGTTAATAATAATATACCAATATTGGTTCATTAATTGTAACAAATGTATCACACTAATGTAAGATATTAATAATAGTGGAAGCTGTGTTTGTGGGGATAAAGGGACATATGGGAATCCTGTGTACTTTCTGATCAATTTTTCTATAAACCAAAAACTGCTCTAAAAAATAAAGTCTATTATAATGAAAAGAAAAAGGAGTAAAATATTGACCTACCCACCCACTTCAAATCTTATGTTCCTTTAGGATGTAGAACGATAATAACAAATAAACCATACTTTAATGAAACTTAATTATTCCAGACTACTGGGATATACACATGCACACACACTTTTTAAAAAATTGACTTTATTTTTTAGAGCAGTTTTAGGTTCACAGCTGACATGAGCAGAAAGTACAGAGTTACCATAACCATCTTCTACTCCCAAACACACAGAGCTTCCTCCACTATCAATTTCCCACCACAGTGGTACATGTTACAATTAACGACTCTACAACAGCACATCTTTATTACCCGAAGTCCATCATTTACATTAGGGTTCACTCAGGTACTAAACATTATATAGTTACTGACAAATATATGGTGACATATGTCCACCATTAGAGTATCATACAAAATAGTTCCACTACCCTAAAAATCCTCTGTACTGTGTCTATTCATCACTCCCTCTATGATAAATCTTGTAACCACTGATTTACTGTCTCCCCAGTTTTGCCTTTTCCAGAATGTCATATAGTTGAAATCATACTGTAATATAGCCTTTACAGATTGGATTCTTTGACTTAATAATATGCATTTAAAGGTTTCCCCAAGGGTTTTTTGGTGTCTTGATAGCTCATTCCTTTGAATTGAATAATATGCCATTGTCTGGATGTGTCACAATGTATTTATCCATCCACCTCAAAGGATATCTTACTTGTTTCCAAGTTCTGACCATTATGATTAAATGTGCTATTAACATTTTGTGTGGATATAAGTTTTCAACTCTTTTGTGTAAATACTAATGAGTGTAACTGCTGGATCATATGGTAAGATTATGGTTAGCTTTGTAAGAAACCGCCAAACTGTCTTTTTGAAAGGGGCCATACTATTTTGCATTCCCATCAGCAATGAATGAGAGTTCCTGTTGCTCCACATCCTTGCCAGCATTTGATGTTATTAAAATATTTATAGTTGGTTTTAGTTAACCAATGTTTCTTCTTTCAGCAACTACAGTTCTGACTGCTAAAGAGAAACATTTTTGAGGCCACAAACTTCTGAAGAGCTTAGAAAGAAATCAAAGTCAAGGCAAACAGAAGAAGAGTAAGACTATGTAGAAAATAGTCAATCCATTCTCCTTGAGTGTAACAACTATGTATGTCAAAAGATAGGTGAGTCCTCTATCAGCCACCCTGCGTGAAAGCCAATCCCAGTCATGTGTAGAGCAACATAAGAAATGCTAATGGCAGGAAAGCATTAACAAACTCTTCCTTTTTTTTTTCCCCTACCCAAGTGACTTAAAACTTACATGCTTTTATTCATTGTCTATACTAACCGATCTATACTAATTTGCCGAACTTACCTTATTCTTCTGTATAAGATGAAAATCTTTTCCAAAAAGCATGAGTGCATGTTCAAAGCTCCGGCATTCTTCTTCCGTCCATGCGGTCATTCCTTCTAGAGAGATTTAGAGAGAAACTTTATTGGCTTCAGAGTTCTTTTACATGAATTGCTAGTTTACACTTTCAGTATGTTTCCCCTATAAAAGGCCATTAACTAACTATCCCTCTCTCTCTCAATCTCTCTCTCACATGTACACATACACACAGTTCTGTATGCAGAAGATATCAGTTAGGATTACCAAAAGTATCCACAATACAAATCTTATTTAAAAATCAACAATGCCAAAATATAAACAATGGGTTCTTTTTCTCTACAGGGGAAGATAAGAATATAATGTTTTTCTATCATTTATGCTGTTTTTTTAATTTTTTTAAACAATGAGCATGTATTTTTTCAAATTAAAAAAAGTTATCTCCTTTATGGGGAAAAAAAGCGCCTTATTTTGGCTATTATATCAAAACAATAGTGCTTTTAATTAAAGGCCATAAGTAACCAATACACATTTATTTAAAGTCAGTTTGCAGAGTGCTACACTCTGGAAACCCAATGGGAATATGAAACAGCCCATACTCTCAAAAGACTAAATCCCATACAACTGCTCAGAAGATGCTAATATGAGTGACCTCAAATCTGTTTGGGGCAGAGGAAACTTGAAGTTCTTCACTTGAAGACACTGGGGACCAGGTCCTCCCTAAGAGTAGTCCACCATAAAGATAAAACATAGTTTGAACTAAAGAAAAAAAACAATATTTAGTTTTTGAGATTAGGAAAGCTTAAAAATAATTTTCTCAAAAAAGCAACTTCTACAAGAAAACATTTCTACAGACTATCTCAACCTACAAGTTTAAATGTACTGTTTTCAGCTTTTCTATTCTTCCTAATCATTTATATAATATTACTGAGTATTATTTTCACTCTATATCTACTTAATGAAAGCTACGGTGCATGCAATTATTTATATAGTGACAAAACTACTGAAATTAAAGGTAACCATTTTCCCTGACACACACAAAACAAAGCCTAAGTATTGTAAAAATTTTATTACATGATTACTAAAAATACCTTCTTTGTAATAAATTCTATGGAATATATTATAATACACTTTTTTATCTTTAATCTCCTTTTCATTTCCTGTTTGGTTTTAAAAAAAAGAAAAAACAACTTTTGTTTTCAATGAAATCATAAAATCATTCTTTTTAATTACTTTGGATATACTGTCATCTCTGGGGTCTGCTTTGTTCTGTAACTATTTCTTCAAGAAATGGAAGTGACAGGGGGTAACTAATTTGTATTTGAACAATCTCTCGTACGTCTAAAAACAGAGGGCAAGAAAAGGAAAAAATTATTGGCTATGAAGATGAACAGAGATCTTACAAAAGTGTTATAGGACTGCTCCATCCTTTACAATACTTTGTTTATTCTAATCCCCAAATGAGCATGCCCTATCACTTCCCTCTCTTGATCCCAAGCGTTCCTTACCTTGAGATGCCTTTCCATTGCAGCAGTACCTTTCAATTGCTTCCTTTATATTATGGTCACACTTGAGAAGTTCATATAATGCCTACAAGAGAAAGAAAAAAAAAACCTATCCAATAAAAACTACCAGAAATTCACACTTAAGAGCATTAAAACAAATAGACACCAAAAAAGGGGTCGGGGGGAGACTAGTAAGAGTCCTAACAAATACTGCCTGAAATGCTATCTAAATGCAAGACATTTAGGGGTATGTTTGCCCAAACATTTAGTCTACTTAACTATCCTGGTAATGGACTCTTGTATCCCAGGAGTTCATTCATTTTCACTCTACCCCTCAGAAGTCACCTGCCAGTATCATTTATTATTTATTTTTTTAATTGCCAGGCCATCTGAGCTGGGCAATTTCCCTATGTTAGATGATTCTTTTCTAGTTCGGAAAAATTAGAATTATGGTCTTATTTCTTGACATCACCTACTCCCTGCCTTTTAGAGCAATAAGAGGGAACAGCAGCAGACCTAGAAGAGAAGAGAAGGATGGGTCCTTGAGTGACTGGGGTTTATAATGGTCTCATGGTCTACTATGAAGGGTGTCATTTTTCTTAAAATTAGAATTTCTTCTCATTAAATCTGTTTGGAATTACAAATATACGAAATAGCAGCAGAGAGAACTTAAATGAAAGTTAAGTAATAATCCACCTTCCCAAATAATTTCCAAGAAAGGCAAAGAGGGCTCAATATTAGTAAATCTATTAATACAGCAATAGGTTAATAATCAGAACATAATCATTAAAAAACAATCCAGCTGCTAAAAAAGCATCTGATAAATCAGTATCCATTTCTAATTTTATAAAAGATAAAAACCATTATAAGTAGATGGTTACTACCTTAGTATAATAAAGACAGCCTCTATCAAACCAAGCACTGGTTATTATTCTTAATGTAAAAACCTTAGATATATGAATTTCCATCAAAAGAAGGCCTCAAATCACTATCACTACCAAAAGTCTCTGAGAGGAGCGTTATGGCTAATGCAGTTAGCAGTTATGGCTAAGACAGTTAACAGGAAAAAGAGATATAATAAATGGTTAAGGAAGGAACCAATATATAATTCAATAATGACTTTAAGACTAGAAAGCCTGATAAAAACTGAAAATTAGTTTTACTTGAGAAAAAATACATTCTGAAAAAACTGATTATTTCTCTATATTAACAATATATAATTATAATAGCGTTCCTATTAACAAAAGTATTAAATGCACATAAATATTTAAGATATTGTCAAATTAAGTTAATTAGATCTATAGGATACCCAAACACAAACATTTGAGTGATTAAAAAAAGGTAAAATTAATGGAGAGTCAGACCATGTTCTTGAACTGGAAGGTTTAGTGTTTTAAAGGTATTAATTCTTCCAAAATTAAATTATAGTTTAATAGACTATCAATACAAAAACCCAAGGGGGTTTCTTTTTGACAGCTGCAAGGCTACTCTGAAATTTAGCTACAACAACTTCTGTATGTTACTTGGAAATTCAAGTCTGAGTCCAACTATCTCTGGATATTCATTTCAGTTAGGATTATTGAGGCTAAAGATACAGAGGGAAATGTACACAAGAGGGGCAAAATGATGTCAAACGGCAATACCAGGGGCATTAAAAAAAAAAAAAAAAAAAAAGACCCTTACTAGGCAATACTCCCAGTCCCATCCCACATACAATCAAGAGTATCCTGCAACTATAGGTACACAGGGCTTAACAAATGCTCCTAAAGCATATTTATACAATCTTAATAGGTAATACTTTTCAACATTTCCTGAACAGAATTCAAGAATAATCCAAAAAATACCTTTATTATAAAATCTAAGGTCCAACCATAGAGAATGTTTAAATAAGTTATATTATAGCTACAGGATGGAAGAATATACAGTCATCAGGAAGAGATAATAAAGAATTCTCAATCGCAAGGAAAGTAAGTGATTCAAATTAAGATATACACATACACACAGAAGAAAGGACCAGAAGAGAAAATGTGAAACATTACGGAGTGGTTATCACTAGGTCGTGGGACTTTTTCTTAACCAGTGTTTTCCAAGTTTTAAAAATCTATAGCGAAAAGAGATATCCAGTTCACATGTAAGAAATACTTGAATCATATATAAGAAAGTCAAGAAGGTGGCATAGTCAGTCAAGCATCTGACTCCTGATTTCACCTCAGGTCATGATCTTATTAGGCTTGTAAGATTGAGCCCCGCATCAGCTCCGGGCTGGGCGAGACACCTGCTTAAAATTCTCTGACCTCCATCCCTGTCCCCCTTCTTTAAAAAAAAAAAAAAAAGAAAGAAAGAAAAAGAAAAGAAAACCAAGAACAGATTAACTAGCTGCTGTTTCAACAGAAGTGGAAGTATACCTGTTCATTGTCCCTTGTGTGCGTTCCTGCAGATATCCTATCCATTATTTTTTCATTTCCAGTTCTTAATGAGGTCTCAACAAGGTACTCCTTAACTTTGCTCTCCAAAACCACACCAGGACGCCAAAGTAACTGGTCTTCATTTTCATACACTAACAAAGAACATTCCATTAACACATTAAAAATAGTGAACATACTCCTAGATGTATATTAATTGTCCTTCCTCTTCTTTGACAGGTTACACACTACACACAACTAACTTTGAGGACAGCAGCAATTTGATTGTCTCACAATGTGACTCTTTAATTGGTAAAGGTATAAAAAAATGTTTTTTAACTTTATTGAGGCCTGAGTGTTTCAATGCCTAGAGCAAGTAGCTTTCTCACTGACAGGATTCACTATCCAATCAGAAGGCATTCTATGCCTAGTGAAATCTAATGTAAAACTCAGAAGGGTGTTTTATATTCTCCTAATGAGGGGGGAAAAATAACCTGTATAAATTCTGTAATAGCCTCACTAGAGTTTTTCTTGAACTCTATGCCTCTATGATGTGAATACAGGTTAAAAACTGCAAACAAATAAAACAAACAAAAATAAATAAAAACCAAAATATCTGCCAAAAATGAAATACCTAAGAAAGGTAGCTTTTTACTTTACTAATTTCCTCCCAAAGACTGAATTTTACTTAAAGGAGAATACACATCAATCAAAAATGGAAAAGAACGATTACAACTAAGAGAACTAAACTTTCCAAAATCTCTTAAAGAGATTGATCTATTAATAACCAGAATGTCACTAAAACAAGGTGTATATTCTATTAATGCACATATTGCCACCATACTTAAAGCTTCTACTTCACACAATAAAGTAACACAGATGGCACAAATATTTATCCCATTGCTTCAAGTGCAATGCACTTTTCAAGGGTATGTTAAGTACTAAATATAGCTAATAAAATGATTTACTGACAGCTCACTATGTACCATGGACCAGGATAAGTGCTTTATATTCAGAACTACGTGAGGCAAGCATTATCGCTCCCGGTGAGCAGGAAAGTTAAAAACAAAATATGCCTATGAACCAGTAAGACTGACTTTTGATGTACATTCCTTTCCTCTTTGTCGAAACTGAAATAGGTAAAGCAGTTTGGGTTTATTCCCTCCAAGGATAGAGAAAGTATACCTTCCCTTCTGAATGTGTACAACTGAGAGATGACTACCTCCGTTACGTTTAATCTAAGAACTGACAGTGGCTGAGCATGTTCTTGACTTCAAGGGTGTGTGTCATTTGCGTGGGGGAATGGAGAGGCTGGGCCATCTCAAGATCAACTACTGTTTTTGCTTCCCTGAGACAACAGCATTTTGAGAGCAATTTAGAAAAACGTTGTTGCTGAAGCTGCCAATGCTAATAACCTTAGGGGAGCCCGTCTTCCCTTCCTTTAAATGGAGGATGACCTAACAGAGCAAAGGGAAAAAGAAAAACTCAGGAAGAGTTGTGTCACTGTGCTGCTCTGGCCCCATGATGTCACATGGACAAACTGACTCCTTAAGGAAAGTCAAATGTGCACGGTCAAATATCCAGGCTTCCCAAGTTCAGCTAGGGTAATGTACCTGTATTTTTATTTTCCGCCATATTTTCAGAACCAACTATAACTGGGATCTACCGAAAATGTGAAGAAAAACCAATTACACTTAAGTAGGGGTGTACAAAAAAAGAAACAGAATTGTGTTCTATCACCTTCTCTTTCAGGGCTCGTACAGGAGAATTTCTTCTAGAGTCTTTATCCATCAAGAGTTTTCTTTGCAAGAGCATTTGATCTCTAATGTGCTCATTATCTCAGGTTATAAGATTCTACCCACTTCTACTAGAGTGGGATGTAAGACAAAGGGATTCACCTGCAGAGGCATTCCATGACTTTACCTGGTGCCTTAGCATACCCGTAGGGCTAAGAAGCACTGTATAGAGACAGAAGTGGTTCTCTGAGTCTGTTAATTTTGATATACTATTCCTGAGTCAGGCCTAAACTTTCACTGATTCCAAATCTATCTTTACACTGCCAAGGCTGAGGGCACCTCGGTTGCTCAGTTGGTTAAGCATCTGCCTTTGGCTCCAGTCATGATCCTGGGATTGAGCCCCACAATGGCCTCCCGTCTCGGTGGGGAGTCTGCTTCTCCCTCTCCCTCTGCAGTTCCCCCTGCTTGCACATTCTCTCCTTCTCTAATAAATAAATAAAATCTTCCCAAAAAATTGATGTATACTCCCTAGGTTGATATATAATCAAATAAACAAACATATTTAGGGATAGCTTGGCCTACCAAATAGTATCAAAATCAAAACCAAAAATCTTACCTTTCTCATCACCATCATACTCTCCAAGGTAAGGGGGAATCTCTGCCTGATACTGTAAACCAATCATTATTTCCTACAAGAAAATTCAGAAGTAAAAACAACTTATAAAAATACACTGAAAAACCAGTTCCAACTCATTAATGAGTTACTACAAGTTGAAAGAACTTTCATCTCGCAACAGCAAAATTATCTTAAGTTACTTCAGAAATGTTTTTAAAAGCTACTTTAGTCCAAACTATCCACTAAGTTATTATGATGGTAACTCAACTTACTTTCCTCAAATCTTCAGGTGAGTTACCACTGTCTGTTTCAACATCTTCAACTTCTGATTCCTTATCTCCATCACATGTAGTATTTGCTAAAAAAAAAAAAAAAACAAAAAAAAAAAACATTAAATTTTAAAAAGGTTTTTACTGCCTGTTTTTGCAGCACATGTCCCTGGCACATGGTATTTTATAAAAAATCTGTTGAATGAATGAAATCAGCACAAATATACCCAACTTATTGTACTACTTACATTTTAACACTAGTCAAAACAAGACACCGAAAATACTAAGAAAGTGTATAGTATCCTTAAGATTTTTTTGGTCTACTGTCAAATAGTTTCCGAAGGCAAAGAAAAACCACTATGTTCACCTTTAAAAAAAAAAACAGAAAGCACTAGAGTTCTTTTATGCTAACCCAGAATGGGACACAAAGAGGTGCATATTAAGTCCACCAAAACTGTTTTTGCACACATACACCTGTACATGTATTTGCATTTATTTGTTAAGTGAATAGTTCTTCTATGATCAAAATACCTAAAAAATAAGCAAGACTGTAGGTAAGAAATTTTTTCACCTCAAAGACGTTTTAAATATTACTGATATACATTAAGGGGTAACACCAAGAACTAAAAAGAAGAAAAAAGAATTAAATAAATCACTAAAAAGATAAAAAATACTTATTGAGCATCTGATGGTTTTCAAAACCAGGAGAGTAAAGGGCCTTTTAAAACAAGTCCAAAAAATGTCCATAAAATTTCATGTTTGAAGAACTAAGATCGGTTACCATAGCAACAGATGAATCTTGGGAAAGAAAATAGATAGCTTTGCAAAACTAACCAAATGTTTTAGGTTTTAAAACAACATGTTAGCTCAACTCTACCCCAATAAAAAGTTACAATCGTATTTGGATTGTAATAGAATTATATTTCCATTAAGTAAAACACTTAGAATATTTTGACGAACTCTTTTGTTGTTTTATGTCTGACAAACTAGTGAATGCCGTAAAACATACTTGAGCCAGAGCATCGGTGTTACTATTAATCAGTAACAACTGAGTTTCTTACATCGTAAAGGCCTAGGGAAGAAATCGGAAGTTTCATGGGAAGTCACAGATGGTGTGAGGTCATCTGCAGAAGACTGAGTTTCCTCATCATCACCTGACAATAGGTCTTTTGCTATTTCCTCCTATAAGAATAAGAATGCAGCGCTGGAGTTAGAAATTACTACATCTCATAAAAATTTTTTTTTCATTTAAAAAAAGAAATTATACTTCATCAACTTCATATTATTTATAAATATATTATGTATGATACAATTAAAAACTTGTTGAAAGCCCCTTAGTTTTGAGAAAAGTAAATCTGAAATGCTCCTATAATTTACTTCATGTATATAAATACTTAATAACACTTGGTATTTAACTACATATAATATTTATTAACTATATTATTATAGACTTAAACAATCTGCCTAACTCATGGAGGAGCAGAAAGCTTATCTGAACCTGCAGGCTAATTTTTAGTGAATTTACAACAAAAATAATCTTTTTTTTCTTAAGATGTTATTTATTTATTTGATAGAGACACAACGAGAGAGGGAACACAAGTAGGGGGAGTGGGGAGGGAGAAGCAGGCTTCCTGCAAAGCAGGAAGCCTGGTGCAGGGCTCGATCCCAGGACCCCGGGATCATGACCTGAGCCAAAGGCAGACACTTAATGACTGAGCCACCCAGGCACCCCAAAAATCATCTTATTTCTATGTGAGTAAAAATTAAACTTACTTTCTACCAATATAAATAAGTAAAACCAAAAAATTCTCCAAACTCTTATTCTCTAATAATTTAAAAAAAAAATCTAACCAATGAAAAACTCTGACTAGTGATATAATTTTAAAAGCAACAGGTTTGAATTAACTTTTATCTAAGGATATAGTCATCTGTGTTCTGGTACATAGTAGGCACTCAATATTTCCTGGGTGACTACAGTCATTAAGGTGTGGTACATTAATACCACATTTGACTGAAAAAGGGGAACAACAAAACTCACAGGAAGAGGTTCCAAGATGTGGATTCCTCTCCCTGTCTGAGATCTGAAAGGCAAGGAAAGCTTTCCAGAGACCATAGAAAGTTAGCAGAGACCGTGGCTGTATGAACTTTCCTCAGGAGGGACTATGCCTTCCCTGCAACCAACAATGTTACAGATATATCAACAAGACCTTGGCTGCTGTGGCTGCTGCCACTCACAGAGCCCAAGAAAACAGAACTGCTCTCCAACCATGCCACATCTAAGCCAGCTTGGTTTGAAGGCTTCTGGGGGATTTATTAATCAATGGATTCAAGAGTTCAGAAGATCAAAAACAGGGCAAAATCTAAGTTTAGATACAATACGTCAACATAGGAAAGGTAAACTTTATGGGAGAACACTCAAACATACAAAGTATTAAGAAGCCATTAACACTTTTAAAGCAGTGTAATCAAAGCCAAACAATATTTAAATTGGTCACCATAATGATAAAGAGCAATGGGTCAATAAGAAATTTACATTTCAGAAATATAAAATGCTTTCAATTAAAGGGAAACTAATAAAAACACCCAATGGTAATGGATCTGGAATTTTTCTTCTTTTTTTTTAAATTTTTTTTTTTCAGTGTTCCAAAAATTCATTGTTTATGCACCACACCCAGTGCTCTATGCAATACATGCCCTCCATAATACCCACCACCAGGCTCACCCACCCCCCACCATCCCTAAGACCCTCAGTTTGTTTCTCAGAGTCCACAGTCTCTCATAGTTTGTCTCCCCCTCCAATTTCCCCCAACTCACTAAATGCCTGTACTCACTTTGTCTAGTGTCATGTCTGGTAGTTCATCAGCAAGTTCACTTGGGGAGCTATTTGCACTGGAATTTGCCACTGCTGGAATTGTAGGTTCATAGCCATAGAATGCCAGTAAATCTTCTAGAGGCATGTTTCCTTCCTATTCAAGCCAGGACACAAACATAAGCTCAGTAGATGTCACAATACAGAAGCACAGATAAACTGTGATGCCATTAATGTTCATAAAACACATTTTCAAAAAAACAGCAGTATCATATCAAAGCCAAATTTTAGTTGTTCTTTTTGTACTATTGCTAGAAAACAGGCTCAAACACTTAGAGTATTATTAATATATTAACAAAAAACCTAATGATTAATATCTTCATTCTTATTTCTAGCAGCACTTTACTCTTTAAAAAATTCCTCAAATATTTGCTTTAGTGATCTTTTTTTTTTAAAGCATTCACATTAGTATAAAGATTTACCTTGAAAGAAGTCACAATTAATCAATCAATAACTTCATATAATATTCAGCTTGTTTCCTTGGACTTAACAATTGACCACTTGGTTTATTCTTCATGTTAATTAGATGATAGCTGAAGGGCAACCACTGCTAAGCAATCACTAATACTAATAATACTTATATATTACTATTCAAAATTATCCTTTTATATTACTAACACTTTATCTGTACTCTGTACAACTGTTTTAAGGTTCTCTCTTATAAACACCTAATGAAGTTAGTATCATTACCACCTTGTTAGAAGTGACAAAACGGAGGCTTAGTTCTGGGTTCAAATCCCAATGCCAGTTCACTTACTTGCAGCAATGCTTTGATAAAAGTACATACTTTGGCTGCAATGCTTCCTGTGTTATGAATACCTATGCTATGCCACATTTTGGTACACTTTTCCCCCCAACTAATCCATCTGAAAATAAGTGGTGTATCACCTTTTCAAAAATATCTTAATTCAAATACTAAAGTGTACACAACTATTTATAATTATTCAAATACATAAATACAAAAAAATATATCTATAGATTAATCTGCTCAACATTTTAAGAGATGTTTATGCTCATCTATTAAGAAATTCATTAAGCTTGCCTATAGGTTTAGTTTTCCCTTTAAGGCAAAATGCCAAAGTCATGAAGCAAAAGCATGAAAATGCTAAAGCTGGTTATGTAAAACATGTCCTCAGCTGATCACAAAGTGAGTGGAAATTAGCCACTTGTGATTTCTAGAAACATACTGCCTGCCAGGCTCGGGGAGGTACCCAAGAATCTGACTTTCACCTTTACAGGTCTAGAACTTGTATTTTTCACTGTGCCTGATTCAAACAGATTCATGCTAAATGAACTTAGAATAAGGTTTATAACAGAATTTGACTTTGTAAATTTGCAGTAGGAGACCTATGCCTTTCCAGTGACCATACCAATCATGTCACTCGTGAAATCCTTTCAGCTTGGGATTGAAAAAGCTGTTTTATTAGCCTGGAGTCAGCAGAAATGGAGTTGGAAGGTCATCCATGCCATGGGGAAACCTCATCAATTATTATTCTCTCAAATCAAACAGAACCCCTCAAATGTGCCCAGAACCAGATTCAGTCTCTCTAACCCTGCTCCTTGCAGATTCCATGCAGCCCATTCCCTTTGGCTCATATCAGTTCTAAGAGGAGACTGCGTTCCAGCTTTTGTAAACCACCTGTCTGTAGTACTTCTTCAAAACCTCATAGTTTCTATGTCAATTTTCATGCATCAAACACTAATAGTCCACCTTTCCATCAATACAGCATTTACTGGGTTCTAGGTACTATGCAGAGGTTGCTAGCTGTAGATATAGAAATTTATAGAAAATCCCTGCTCTCAATGAGTTCAGTCTTGATGGAAGAAACCGGTAAGTTAACAATTACAATACAATGTGGTGACTGCAATAATCAATTCCAGAAATGGTAGTATACATTGATAGATAAGAGAAGGGAAGAACTAAACTCTAGGAATAATGGCATGCATGAGATTAGGGAGGTGCCACATAGGGTGCAAAGACCGAGCTAAGCAACATTCGACAGATGAGAGCTATGTACTAGGGCCTTCTGGTGTGTCATAAGAAACACTGACTGGGCAGTTACTGGGTGCCAGTAAGCCACTGTGCCAAGTGCTGGTATGAAAAAGAGGTCTTGCCCTTCTACAATGCACAGTCTGGGGGACCAGGGTGGTAGGGGAAGAGGGTGGAGGGGGATAATGACAATACCCAAATACAAAACTGTCAATTATGATGAATCCAAAGGAAATAAACAGGGTCCTGAAATACAGAATAATGTAGAGTGTACTTTTACAGGGTCAAAGGGAAGATAGAGAGTGCCCTTTACTCCCAGGGCAATGGGAAGTGAAGGAAAATTTAAAAAAAAAAAAAAAGTGGGGGGGATGAAGGGGGAGTGCCATGACTTTATTTTTCCTTAAATGTTGGGCAGTTACATAAAGAAAAGGTTGAGGAGATGGAGAGATAAGAGAAAAGCAAGGAGAACACCCAAGGGTTCCATGCTGGATTAAGGTAGTGACATAAACATGGAGAAAAGTAAATAGATGATATATATTCTAAGGTGGAATCAAATGAGTTCCTGGATGTGGGAGTGAAAACAATGTCTCTCCAGATTTCTATTTAAGCAACTCTATTTGAGTAAAAGTGGTAACTTTTACTGAGATAGAAAGGACTGAAGAAGGGGTGCCTGGGTGCCCAGTAGGTTAAACTGAGCCTTCAGCTCAGATCTTGATCCCAGAGTCCTGGGATTGATTCCCGCATTGGGCTTCCTGCTCAGAGGGGAGTCCTTCTCTTTCTCCCTCTGCCTGCTGCTCCCCCTGCTTGTGCTCTCTCTCTCTGTCAAATAATAGAACCTTTAAAAAAAAACAACAACAAAGGACTGAAGGAAGGGTTTCTGAAGGAAGTAAGAGTTCTGCAGAGACAAAAGTTAAGTTGGAGAGGACTATGAAACATCTAAGTAGAAGAGTCAAGTTGGCCAGCAGCCTAGTGTTCACAGGATCAGGCTGGGCTAGAGATATAAATCTGGCATTTGTTAGCATCTAGATGATACCTAAAGCCAAAGGTCAGAGGACAGACAGAAAAGAGAAGGGAATATTAGAAGAACTTCCAGATATATCACCCTACAAGATGATGGGCTATGTCTGGAAAATTTTAAGTACAATACACATTTTGAAAATAACATTCTAGGGGCGCCTGGGTGGCTCAGTGGGTTAAAGCCTCTGCTTTCGGCTCAGGTCATGATCCCAGGGTCCTGGTATCGAGCCCTGCATCGGGCTCTCTGCTCAGCAGAGAACCTGCTTCCCTTCCTCTCTCTCTGCCTGCCTCTCTGCCTACTTGTGATCTCTGTCTGTCAAATAAATAAATAAAATCTTAAAAAAAAAAAAAAAAAGAAAGAAAATAACATTCTAGGGGGGAGTAGAAGAATGAGAGCTTCAACTAAGGAAGGGAATTATCTGAGTGAAATTAAGAGAAAAGAATTTATTTCTTGACCTACTTGATAAAATGAATCAAAGTGACAGAGGAGCCTAAATGGATTACCGGTTTCTGACCTGCGAAGGCTAAATTCCTACAGCATTGTTATGAGACAGAAACATCAGACAAACTTGAAGGTGGACAGTGGGGTGGTAAATGATAATTCAAGGCAAAGGTGAAGCAATGGGCTTGAATGAGGCCACCCAGAAAAGGCATATAGAGTGAGAAGACAAAAGCTAGAACTCTGGGAAATGCCATCAATTAAAATGCGGGCAAAGAAAGAATGGCCCATAAATACAAAAGAGGGAGATACCAGAGAGGAGAACTAAGAGAAAGCAGAATTACATAAGCTAAGGAAGAAGCAAGTATGGAGAGACCAAAGACAGTCACTTAGGCCAAATATCAAAGAAAAATCAAGTGAAATAAAGAGAGACAGGAATTCTCTGTACCTGTCAAGCAGGAATTATTGGTGACCCTACAGCCTGTTGGGAGAAACAAAGCTGAATTGATGGAGGGGAGCAGGTACTCTGAATGGACTAAATGGAGGGAAGAAAGCATACACACTATAAAACAAGAATCACTAAAGGCAACACAGGGTTAAAAAAAATTTCTCCCAAATTTAGGAAACATATGAGTAGGATTTTTTTTTTTAAGATTTTATTTATTTATTTGACAGGGACAGATCACAAGTAGGCAGAGAGGCAGGCAGAGAGAGAGAGAGAGAGAGAGGGAAGCAGGCTCCCTGCTGAGCAGAACTCCTGATGCGGGACTCAATCCCAGGACCCTGAGATCATGACCTGAGCCGAAGGCAGCGGCTTAACCCACTTAGCCACCCAGGTGCCCTATGAGTAGGATTTTCTATACTGAAATAAAAGATTAAGTGGGAAGAACAGGCTCAGGGCAGGAGGGATGGAATTACGAGTTAGCCTCGTAATTAGTTAGGATGTGACATATACTTTTGGGACAGTAGGGGGAGAAGAAAGAATGAGTTTAAAAGTTAAATTTGTATGTGTGGGGTACACAGGAGATTCCAGGTAGTGAGTCATGAAAACCCTACTTTCTCTATAAAGACAAAAGTATGATCATCCATTGAGGAAGAGGGTGACTATCTTAGCGGAACTTCACCAACACATTCAAGGAATGACACTAGTTACCTAAAGGGAGCGGATGCTAAAATATAGAAATTACTTGTACTAAAACTTGTGTAGCAAAACTAGGGAAGGTGAATCCAATCTCTGAAACACTTCACAAATGAGATTTCTATTAGACCTATTAATAAAGGACTTAACCCTCTGAAGCACAAAAGTTTTTTTTAAAAATGGAATGAGTAAATCTCCATCTCTGAGATCTGTGTGGCTACATCTAACAGCTTAGAACTTTGATCCAGAACCTCATCCCAGGTGGAAGATTTTTCTCCTTTTTCTCAGGCATTTCATTGACCCTAAACTTTAAGGGACGTATTTGAGTCTAGTCATCCTTATAAATGAACTATTTTCTAACTCAAAGGTTTTGTATCAGAAAGAACATAAAATCTAGAGGCAGAGAACTAACTGCTAACCATTACTGTAGGCAAATCACCTCATCTAAATTTCTTCATCTGTAAACAAAAAAGTATCATAATTTCCTTGATCCTATGATGCATAACCTCACATACCAGAAATCAGGATGCATCCCACTACCAATGTACACATCTCCCATAGTATTGTTCCTCCCTGCCCCCATCTATATTATTTCTACATCTGTGGTAGATTTCACAATCAACAAGGACTCTTAACCAAGGAAATAATGCTAATACTTACCTGATACACCTGATGGTGTTCCTGGATTGATCAAAAGGAATTGTCTAAGTGAAGTGTAGAATAATTTTCATATAACGCCAGTCTAATATCTTAAAATGTGCATTGCAAAAACAGTATACCTATAGTTTTAAAAACTTAATTAAAAAAAACCCACAAAACAGGAAGGATCTATACCAAAGTGTAAGTGGAAGAAAAGGTGATTTTTACTTTCTCGTTTCACAAGAATATCAAGTGAGAAATCTACAAATTATTGTAAAGAAATTCTCTAAAAGTTATAGGTGGAGACTATTAAATTAAAACCTCACAAAACAGTAACATGAATAAACTATAGTAAGACACAATGTAAACCTTATTTTATATGTTTCATAACATATATCTAGTCATAAAATGTATTCTCTATACCAAAGTTCTACTATACAAAAACTGTTTTTATCTCTTATTTTTAATACATACTGTACCAAAAATCTGTAAGCACTAAAATACAGCCATATTTATAGTCTATAAACTATCAAGTTTACAACGAATATAAAAACTTCTTGTAATTTCTAAAAACAAACATTAACATCAAGCCCCTAAGACTGTGAACAGGTAAGAATACCTAAATCAGTATTCCAATAATAAAAGATTAACAAGAGTACTTTAAATGATATAGAAATAATTTTAAATTTCTTCTATAAATGATCTTTACTCTTTATATTTGTGATTCTATCTGCTGTTTATTCAATTTCTCGTTTCATTAAACATCAACAAAGAATAGAGACCACATCTACATAGTTATGCTTTACCACAGATAAGAGTTATAGTTCAGAGGAAGTGGGCAGTCACTCTTAGAAACAGCTCCTTTTGTCCATTGTTCCATGAGAGAATGATTAGGCTTCTAAGTGGAGACACAGTTCTTAGGTCTTCACTAGAATCTGTTTAAAGATCACCTGTAGTGGGGCACCTGGGTGGCTCAGTGGGTTAAGCCTCTGCCTTTGGCTCAGGTCATGATCCCAGGGTCCTGGGATCGAGCCCCACATCGGGCTCTCTGCTCAGCGGGGAGCCTGCTTCCCCCTCTCTCTGCCTGCCTCTCTGCCTACTTGTGATCTCTCTCTCTCTCTCTCTCTGTCAAATAAATAAATAAATAAAATCTTTAAAAAAAAAAAAAAGATCACCTATAGTTTTCTGCAATTTCCAAGAATGTCATAAAATGCCAAGAAGCAAAACTGTCCAAGTACAGAAAAGTTGAAATAAAGACCTAATTTTTCTGAATTATCAAATTCAGTGATAGATACCACTACAAAGCAAAAAATTAATTACCAGTGTTTATTTCTTTAAGATTTTTATTTATTTGACAGAGAGATAATGTTTTGGGTTTTTTTTAAGATTTTATTTATTTATTTGACAGAGAGAGAGAGAGAAATCACAAGCAGGCAGAGAGGCAGGCAGGGGTTGGGGGAAGCAGGCTCCCTGCTGAGCAGAGAGCCTAATGCAGGGCTCGGTCCCAGGACCCTGGGACCATGACCTGAGCCGAAGGCAGAGGCTTTAACCCACTGAGCCACCCAGGTGCCCTGACAGAGGGATAATGTTAGCTGAATTATAATTCTCAGTTATTCTAGGCTACCCATCATTAGAGCTGGGAAGGAAGTGCCTGAATAAAGCCAAGGCAGAGCTCAAGACTCTTGGACATCTTTTCTTATCAAAAGACAACATTTTTATCATCACCCCTGAAAGGAGCAGCAATACCCTAAGCTTTTCTTAATTATTTCCCAACCATTTTCTCTCTATATTCTCAAATCTGTTTAGCTGTAAATTGTTTTTTTTTTTTAATGATTCAATCGAAGAGCAATTTTCTTGGGTTAATTTGTCAAGTGAATGAACACGTTTAGAAATTTTCAGGTCTACCAGAGCAAGCCCGGGATCTAGATCCTCAAGACTGCCTCTATTTCCCTGTATATGAACATGAAGGAAGATATGCAATAAGAATTCATCTCTGCCTTACAAAGACAGCAGAAGAGATTACATAAGAATGTGTCTTGTCCCTGTACCCCTGGGGCTAATAATACATTATATGTTTATAAAAAAATTAAAAATTTAAAAAAAATTTTTTTTTAAAAATTGGTGATATTAAACCACCTCTTTTGATATTGATAGAATAAATAAGATATAAAAAACAGGAAAAAAAAAAGAATGTGTCTTGTCTTCTTGAAGAAAAAGAGGTATAAAAAAATCAAAGGATTGGGCGTCTCGGTGGCTCAGTGGGTTAAGCCTCTGCCTGCGGCTCAGGTCATGATCTCAGGGCCCTGGGATCCGGTCCCGAATAGGGCTCTCTGCTCCGCAGGGAGCCTCCTTCCCCGCCCTTTCTCTGCCTGCCTCTCTGCCTACTTCTGATCTGTCAAATAAATAAATAAAATCTTAAAAAAAAAAAAAAAGGATTATTATTATTTAATATTATTCCTGAAAGCTTTTGTTATTCTGAGCTGATCAGAAATGTGCAAATAAGATTAATTTATAGATAACTATAATCCTACATTTTTTCAAATGACCTCTATTGAGACCTCTCTCTATAGTCCTGGTATAAATATGTGTTTAAAATCCAATTCAGGGGCACCTGGGTGGCTCAGTGGGTTAAAGCCTCTGCCTTCGGCTCAGGTCATGATCCCAGGGTCCTGGAATCGAGCCCCACATCGGGCTCTCTGCTCCTGAGGAGCCTGCTTCCTCCTCTCTCTCTCTCTCTGCCTCTCTGCCTACTTCTGTTCTCTGTCAAATTAATAAATAAAATCTTAAAAAAATAAAATAAATAAAATCCAGTTCATTTCCGTCTCTATCGATTTTAGGTTTAAGAAGTTACAAACTACATTTATTATTGCCAACTTTTTAAAAGATGACTGAGGGGTGGAAAATAGGACATTATTATTTTACAGTTAAAAACAGAGTAGGGGCACCTGAGTGGCTCAGGCACCCCTACTCTATTTTTTAATCAGTCATTAAGCATCAGCCCTCAGCTCAGGTCATGATCCCACAGGGTCCTGTGACCAAGCCCTACATCAGGCACCCCTCTCAATGGGAAGCCTGCCTCTCCCTCCCATTCCCCCTGCTTGTGTTCCCTCTCTCGTGGTCTCTCTCTCAAAAAATCGTAAAAAAAAAAAAAAAAAAAAAAAAATAGAGTAAAACTTTTTCTCTTTCAACATTCTTTTAGTATTCTACCAGATTACAAGTTATTTAAAGGAAGAGACTTCTCTCTGTATCTACTGCGGTGTTTAATTAAACTCAAGTGTTACCCTCAGTAGAATAATGTGGTTTAATGCACTGGGCTGGACTACAATTCAGCAACAAGTCTAGGGCCCACAGTTCTCTATATCTCATTACGTAAGATTCTCATCTGTAAGATGACCACACGTACCTACTTCACTGTGCCTCAAATACTTAAAAATTAGATTAAGAACTATAAAATAATTTTGAAAGATTAAGTGAAAATTTACTTATTAGGCTTCCCTTCAAAATAATGAGAAAATCAGTGACAGTTCATAAAAGATAGGTCAAAAACAAAGACGCTGATCCTGTTTTTATTTCAGGTAGATGGTAAAATAATATATAATACAATATCAAAATCTTTACTGTAAGTTTGTTATTAAAATATGAAAGTAAAATCCTTTACCTTTTCTAAGTCTTCAATTTCAGAACTGAAGTTTTTACCCTCATCCATCATTTCCTCTTCTTCAAGAGTTCTTTCATCATCATAGTCATGGACCAACATCTCAGCAGTAGGGTCAAAATCATGATCCTCAGAAGACAAAGACCCAACTGTAATGAAACAAACTGAATCACTTTACATATTCACAACGCTACTTACAAGAAAAAATAATTTGTGTTCTTCTGCCAGTTCCTTTTAATGTTTATATGAGAGCTTTATTAAATGCATTTACTATATACTTAACAGGTTATAAAGACCATATAGTTCTGAAAAGATATCTAAATCAGCAAAGAACAAGGCAGAGTAATTTAAAAACACTTTAATAAGAAGTCCAGTCCATGAGAACAGAACCTATATTGGCAGCAAAGTGATTTAAACAGAGGAGTCCTAAAAAAAATGTTCTAAAAGTCAAACTTGTCAGTTTAATGCATTTGTCTAAAAGCAACAGAAAAATGACAGAAGATTTGTTAATCGTCAATTTCACAAGAAACTGTTACACACCAAAGCTCAACACTTCAGGCAAAGAGAATATATATGTTACCCTACTTACAACCCTCAAAGGTACAAAACACAACAGAAATCGGGTTCATAGGAAAAAATTCAAGTTTTTGTGAAGCAACTATACAGCTAATCAGTCTCTAAAAGTATGTCACTTTTCATGTCCAGAACTGTATTTCAAACTCTCCACATAGGCATTAAATTATAAGAGCATGCTTTTCTTTGGACAACTAATAACATAATTAGTTTTAAGATTATGTGAAGGAAGTATAGAAAAATCATATCTATAGGTTTTTGAAAGATGCAATTTGTTCTGGCCAATTCATACTGGTTTATGAAATTGCAATGCTTTTCTAAGGCAAATGTGGAGTCTACAGGATACTCTGAAAATGAAGTTGAGAAATGAGTAAAATTCACAATCCCAAGAGAATGAGACTGAATCTATGAAAAACAGAGTTTTCCCTAGTATCTAATTCAATTAGACCAGTTAACATAAGAGCAGGGAAGCAAAGAAGTACCAGAATCTTGGGGTAGAGGAAGGGGAAAGTGGAAGGAAATACATCTAACATAAAAAGTTTGGTCTGTTTTTAATAAAACTATTTAATATTTTGAATTTCAAACATTTAAGGACAGTATGAGATCATACCAAAATACTGACCTACTGCAAAGATTTTTCACTCTGAGAAAAAATACAGACGTAATTCCATGATTTTGTTTCTAAGTTTGGAGAACTCTAATCATTAGTCCTAAAAATAACACAATTTCTGGGGAACTCAATTATTTAGGAAGCTTACACTATGATGTTATTTTTTTAATGTTGAAAGATATTATCAGTTCATTTTCAAACCTGTTGAAATACAGACGGTTTAACTTAATTTTAAGGAGAAAAATGAATAGTTACTGAAGAGCTCAAAAGCAGATCATCCACCACTATCAATTTCCTATTTTGAGGAATTTCTGGAAACCCCTGTGGTACACAAAGTGTCAGGGATGAAACAGATGGTAACTCTTCTACCTCTTTAAGGCAGAGCCCTGTCCTCTTTTGTAATCCCCGTATCACTGGTCACTGTGCTCTTTCCTCTTAAAGTGGAAGGTATTCAGTTAAGGGCCAGAAATCAAAGGGCCTAAGGATCTACTCCTGGCTTTGTCCCTGGCCTGCTGAGACCTGAGGCAAGTCATTTAAACTTTCTGGGCCCAAGTCCAGTTTTTCATTTGTGAAATGCATAGTGTTGGCTTAGATGACCTCAAGAGCCTCTTCTAAGTTCTAAAATTTTCTTGAAAATTGGCTAAGTGATTAAAAACAGGTTATAAAAGTTTGTTTAAACACCAAAGCCACAATGTCTTCTTGCTCTTTATTTGGATTGCAACTTCTTAAAAGCAGACAGTGATGCAAAATGGAAAAATTCCATTATCATCCAGATGTTTGGCATCATGTATATAAATACTCTGTTCCTGAAATCAGTTATGACAAAGAAATGTTTGTCTAAAAATCAGAAAAACTTTTTAAAACAATCTTTTAAATGTAAAGATGTAGACAGCTATTTAAAAAATAACCACAAATTTCTTCTACTCTGTGACTAATTATTTTCTAATACCTTAAAGGATAATCAAGTGAGACCTTAAAAGTCAACTAAATACACAAAGTAATACGCAAGGAAATGGGCTGTTCACTAAGGCAACATGCTGCAAGGGAAGATATGGGAGCTTTTCCAGGCTCTATTAACTAGGTGACTCTCAGTAGAGTTATTTAAAAGTCTTCTCAAGTGTAAAGTAAGGGACTTGGAGTAGTTCAGAGGTACTTTTCTTGGAGACTATTAGAGGGAAAAGAGACAGCCAAAAAAGGGCTGCAAGGGGGGTGAGAAACTGAAACAAAACTGTCCTCTCCATTATGGTATTCAAGGGAGCCAGAAACCCCAAACTGTATGCAATAATGCTACATGTAGAGTTCAGGAGACAGTCCCTTGCTTTCATCAGAACCTGAAAATGTTTCCCATTTCTAAAAGGTTAAACACTACTAGATCATCTAAGGTTGTCTCACCTCAAAAATTCTGTATTACCACTTTCACGTGACAAACTTGTAATTCTATGTTTCTTTTAAGGTGGGTAGCTTTACCTAACTCTCAAGTTCCAATTTCAATAAATCTATAGTCATTTCTCAATTATGAAAAATTTAGGAGACAAAATAAGGCGAGATGGGGAGTCATGGTTAGTTAATAAGTGATGTAAGCAATCCCAAAGTTTCAACAAATTAAAGAGCTGATTTCTGGAAAAAAATTAAAACCTAAACTAATCTGGAAAAGTTAGTGCAAAGTTAATTCGGGATTAACTGTTTCAGGCTTGGAGAAAAAAACCGGTGATAACTAAAGATATATTACTAAAAAGAACACTTGTCTGTTAGCAGCTTTGTAACAAGTTATTTTTTAAAACATGCAAGAAAAAAAGAGAAAAGTGTAACTGCTCTGTCCTCAAACAACTTAATTACCAAAATGTACGCTGAAACTCTAAAAAACAAATGAAAAAACTCGCAGGGCAATTTTTTGTGCAAAAACCTTTAGTAATATATATCTGAGCCACCCCCCCCCCATTACCCTTTGGAACCCATCAAGAGGTAAGAAAATAGGACAAACCTGGGCTCGAACTTCCAAAAGAAGCCTAGGAGAGAGAAGAAAACGTGCGGTTAGATCGCGCAGCGGAGGGGGGAAGAGGCAGCGCCGGCAACAGGGCGCGGAGGAGGCGGAGCCCAGAGCTCCACCGCAGCTGCCAAAAGTACAAGACGTAGCTTCGCTCCAATCGCTCCCAGCCCCTTTCGGGCCCCTCTTGGCTGCCTCGCCTTCCTCCCCGAGTCCCCAGTGTGCAAACTCGCAGACCCGGGACGAAGCTCAGAGTCTGAGAGGCAACTCCAAGCCGCTCCTTGGAGCTCAGCAAGTTACAAAACGGAGAAGCAAAACCCAGAGCAGTCGACTCACGGCATCGGTCCCCACTCCCCGGCATCTCGGAGTCCCCCAGATCGCACTCGGCTCTCCACGGACCCAAACAACACCTTCCAAGGCAAGACCCTTTCCTGGAAGGGAATCGTCCTCTGATCACCTAGTCTACCCCTGAGGCCCGAGAGCCCCAATTCCGAGGCTGTCCTCGGACCTGTGCGTAGGCCAGCTCGAAACTGGACACCCGCCCCCAAACCAAAGCGCAAACCCCCCATTCTCTCTCCCGAAACTGGAGACGCGGCCCCTCAGTCCCAGAGATGCTAGTTCCTTCCAGGGTGTTCAGTCTCTCCTTAGGCCCGCCAGCGAGCCCCTCGCCCCAGCGAGCTCCAGCCGAAGGGGCTCCTGCTGCGCCACCGCCTCCCCCAGATCACCAGTCCCGGGGGACACGGCCGGAGCAGCTTTGCTAGCCCTGCCTCCCTCCTTCAGGCCAGAAGAAAGTGGGGATACCGAGAGCCCCTAGATAAAACGTCGAGAATCTTGGATTGCCCCCTTTACATCCAAGGGTTCCCGCACCTCCAGGGCTGCGGGGCGAGAAGTCCCGCTCGCCTACCGCGAAGCCTGGCAACCGTACATCCCGCTTGCCTCGGTGCCCGGAGCAAAGTGGAGCGAGAGGCTCCTTGGCGCGGCAGCCCGGACCCAGTGGGCCGGGGGCACAGAGCACTCCTCCCGCAGGACAGTGGCGCAGCCCGCTCCCCGGTTTGCAATCCGGCCGCGGAGGGGGGGGGGGTAGCTCGGCCGGTTTCCACCCACCCTGGCCCTAGAAAGCGGCGCGGAGGCTCCGGCGGCCCGCGTCAGCTACCCCGGAGCACGGCACGGCGCCGTCCCCACGCCGGGGCTCGCTGCCGCCGGTCGCCACCTCCGGTCCGGCCCCGTCGCGCAGCCGGCTCGGGGCCGGAGCCGCCGCGGCCTAGTCCCGGAGGCAGACTGCTCCCGCGCCCGCTCCCGCCCCCCGGCCGGCCCCGCCACGGCCCGTTGCCGCCCCGCAGCCCCCGTCCCGCCGCGCCGCCCCCCGTGGAGCCGCGGGAAGGGCCTCGGGTCTCCCAAGCCGGCTCCGGAGGCGCGGGGGGGCCGCTGGGCGCCCGCTGTAGCCCGGCCGCTCCTGCCCGGTTTCTCTGCTCACCTCCGCCATATTGGTACCTTTAGGGCGAACGAGCAGCGCCGAGCCCAGTCCCCGGATGGGGCGCCTGAGCCAATCGCAGCCGCCGCCGCCGCCGCCGCCGCCGCCGCCGCCGCGGTCCGCCCGGCACCCGCCCGGCGGCGGAGGCGGCTCGGCCCCTTATAGGGCAGGGCGGCCCGCGACGCCCCCGGCCCGCTCGCACGCCCACCCTGCCCGGAGCCCCACGCCGCACCCCGCGCCCCCTGCGGCCCGCCCGATGCGCACCGGCGCTCATCCGCCCTTTGCCTTTCGGCTGGAGTAAAGTTCCTGCCGAACTGGAGGCAAGTGGGGGACGAATGGAAACTCGGGCATGGGACGGACCCACGTCCAGGCAGTCGAGGCCGAAGAGCCGGCCGGGGCAGCGAAGAATCGATGGACGAACACTCTAGTCCGGTAGGACGTGGAGGAGGCGGACAGGAGACGTGGAGGGACAACTCGACGGACGTCCCCAAGTGAAAAAGAAAGGAGATGATCGATGCAGTAGACTGACGGACAAGAGAAATCCCCGGAATATGGGAGAAGTGACTGATGGACGGCAGGGTCAGTCCAAAATGAGAGGACAGGGACCACGCACTTTGCGGTTTCCCCGAAGAGACCTGAGGAATGGAAGGTGCAGACCGGCATATCCTGGCTCTTGGAGTGGCTGGTGGAAGTGGTCACTTGCCATACAGGCTTTCAGAGATAGTGACATACGGAAGAATGGATAAAAGATCATCAAGGCAAAGAATTTGAAGAGACTTGCACAATTCAGAGGAGACATTCATAAAATATAAACCGTGCGTGTACCCCCCAAATTAGAACAATCCTAAGAGTTGTTAATTACAAAATAGTCCAGGTGATGACCCAGGGGTACACACTTGATAGACCTGTGGAAGAGCAAAATAGTATATCAGAGGCCCTGAACCGAGTCTCAGAAACTCTACTTCCACCCCAAAAGGCCAAACTTTTGCTTATGGTCAAAAAGAAAACTAGTTCTGTAGATAAGTGGATGGGTGGAGAAGGGAGGACAAGGCTTAACAGATATACCTACTCTTAACACGTGCCTTCTGGCCATTCGCTCTTCATTGGGAGAAGTAAGTCTAACTCCTGACAGATCCATATCCATACTCAACTACTTCAAGCAAGTACACAGAAATATTCACTAACAAGTCATGGGTAGCCCACAGAAGTAAATCCTGCTAGTTCAAGTCATTATGGCAAGTCCACGTGGTACAGGATTGTCTTGAGGCAGGAAGCCAGAAATAATAACATATATGGAAAATAAAGTTTAAAAAATGTGGAAGAGGGGTGCCTGGATGCCTCAGAGGGTTAAGCCTCTGCCTTTGGCCCAGGTCATGATCTCAGGGTCCTGGGATTGAGCCCCACATCGGGCTCTCTGCTCAGCAGGGAGCCTGCTTGTGATATCTCTCTCTCTCTCTCTATCAAATAAATAAAATCTTCTTTAAAAAATGAGGAAGAGAAAAGTCTCTTGTAAGCTCCATGAATAAGGCAGATGCAAATACTCAGAAAAGTATGGCAGGACCCTACAGAGACTTGCTGAGGACAGTGATCTCAGACATCAGAGTTCTTCCAATTGTTGCTAAAACATGGCATGTTAAATGACAGAGTTGAGGGTTTTGCTCACAAGTTGAGAATCTCCCATACTTTTAGTCCACACATGACAGGTCTGCTTTTATGCTGGGGTCACCTTTGATTCTCCCCTCCAAGAGCACATATGGAGGCTGAGGCTGAAGACTGGATTATGAATAGCAGGGGAAAGAATTACTTTCAACATTTCGGCCAAGGCATCTTAAAGTTACTCCACTGGTAAACTTTATTTATTTATGGAAATTTTAGGGAAAATCACTTCAACCATTTCAAAACATCGTAAAGACATGGAAAATTACACTTTCCCTGCTGTGAAAGATATCTTTCGACCTTTTGTCCAGCCAAAGCTGAACTTTGAAACCAGAGCTTGGCACATGTTATATGTACTGTCCTCAATGAGGCGTTTAGAGTTTTCAAAGTTTAAAAAAAAAAAAAAAGGCTTGAAATTAAGTGCAAGTGATTAACTTTAGAAATGCAGTGAGCATGTCCAGTGGACAGAGCCATTAAACAGTTCCCTGATCTGCTTGACCACAGCATGAGCCACCACAGACCAAGTCAGGGATCTGAATCATGAAGAAAGTGTCTCCAACAGCCTGCCTTGTACTTAATACTAGGAAAAATATTTTCTTCGTAGCAAAACTTGGCTAATCCAAACTATAAATGTAGTCTTAGATTCCATTTTGCCATGTCCAAGAAGTAGAGAGACTCATGCATTTGCATGAACTTAGTAGAGTTTCTGCAGATTTTTTTTTTAAATAAACTGTGAAGATTCCATGTAGGCATTTGTAATTTTGACTGCTTATATTCTCATAGTTTATGTAATCTGTGTCCAGGGTACTAAATAAGGATTCAAAGAAAAATAGTGAAGCTAAATAAATTTTTAGTTTAAGGAAGCAGAGCTATTTTCTCACCTTCTAATCAGTAGAGGAAAAGTTTACTGCCCAGTCTTACATACACATTCCTTTTATGATAGAGTGTGTAAAGTCTACCTATGTAAATGGATCTCTTATTCTTTTTGATGACAAGACTTCCAGGAGTTGGTACAGACAAAAAGTCTCCTCATTCCAGGGAGTGGAATAAAAAATTGCTTTTTACCATTGTTTTTGTTATTCTGTCACTACACAACATATGGCATTATGTAGAGAACAAGTCCTATGCTGGACACTGTGCACTATAGGGTCACCATAAGATTCCTAGTCTCTCAAAAGCTTATAACCTAACTAACTGTATTCTTGTATGTGGTGGATGGAAACAAGAGGAAGGAAAACTCAAAACTGAAACCATGGTAACCCTTCAAGGAGAACCAAAATATAATAGATTCTCCAGCCATCTTTAGAAATGAAATAAACGAGCCCGGGTGGCTCAGTGGGTTGAGCATCCAGCCTTGGTTTCAACTCAGATGATGATCTCAGGGTTATGAGATCGCACCTCTCCTTCCCCCTAACCTCACCTGTTGTGGGGCTCCTTGCTTGCTCAGCAAAGAATCTGCTTGAGATTCTCCTCTCCCTCTGTTCCTCCCCCAATGTGTGCACACGAACTCTCATAAAAAAAAAAAAATTAAAAAGAAATGAAATAATCAAGAAAAGTTTATAAATGTGTACTTTGAGACATTTTACAAAAAATAGGTAAAATAGGGCACCTAGGTGACTCAGTTATTAAGCGTCTGCCTTCGGCTCAGGTCATGATCCCAGAGTCCTAGGATCGAGCCCTGTATCAGGCTCCCTGCTCGGTAGGAAGCCTGCTTTTCCCTCTCCCACTGTTCCTGATTGTGTTCCCTCTCTCACTGTGTCTCTCTCTGTCTAATAAATAAAATAAAATCTTTTAAAAAATAGGTAAAATAAAATAAGAAAATGTAAATATGAAAAATGAGGACCAGGAGGTTAACACCAAAGAAAACATTACAACAAGACTATTCAGGTAACGAG